CCGTGCCGCATTAAATCCATATTCGGCGATGTTGCGCACGGGCGCGCGCGCCTTTCCTCCGCTACTTCTCTCTCTCTCTCTCTCTCTTCCTTTTCCTCCTCGTCCTCGCTCTTACAAACATCCTCGAAGAAAACGCCTCTCAAAGAGATGCAGCCTTTCACCGAACAGACACATTCGCGCGAAATCTCCTTCTCGCTACCAATCTCGTTACCGCCGCCGATCCACCAATTGTGTTTCCGATAGGTTTCGTAAACGATTGTCGTCACGCTCTCGCCCACGGCGAAAATTCAACTCGTGGCAAAAGTAGGGCGTGCACGTTTCGTTCGATCGCTCCGTTCCTCTTGATTTGCGACTGTCGTCGGCGGAGCGAACTTCGCGGAATTAATTAACGCCCGATACGCGAAAATTGCCGATATCTTCGCTCTTCTGGCGCGTCTCGCGCTCCGACCGTCATTATTTCACAATAAAGACAAGCCCCCTCCCCTCTCTCGCTCGCGGGGGGACCACGACGAGAGGTTACAACGAATCTCGTTTATGGGGAGGGAAAGGGTGCGAAGTCGGCGGCCATTGCTTCGGCTCTGAGATAGCTTTTGTGCTTTTTGTTCGGCCCAGGTCTTTCATCGCGCCATCCCTTCGTGCGCACAAAAGAACTCGAGTAAATACAAAAAACGCCACGTAGGCACGTAGCGTCCTCGCCGCTCGCTTTCGAACCCGAAAAATCTCTTATCGATGCCGACGTCACCGCTTCAAGGACCGGAATTCGCGTTGACGCGATCGCAACATAAACAAGATTCCTCGACAATAATATTTTCATTCAATAAAAACATAATATAAAATGATAAAAAAATGTAAAAGTGAAAAAAATATTTTATATATTATTTCCGCACTCTGCGAACGATTATCCGATCATCGCCCAATATTGTTTCGCAACCGAGATGAGACGGGAGGGAAGAACCGGATATCGCGAATTTTCTCGTTCGCCACTGTCAAACGATTAATGTCTCCGAGATCATGATGGCCCTCGTAACTGTTGTCGTCATTGGCACACGAAACGCGACTCGGTTTAATATTGACAGCCGCAACAACGAGAAAGTTCGTAGTCTGGAGGGTAAGACGGTTTGCAAGAGAGGATACGAGTACACAGGGTAAGCGGCTTATTGCGAGTGACGTCGCCAGGATTTTCGGTACACGACACTGCATGACTGTCGCGTCGACTTTCGAACGCTAATGGCGCCCTCGTCCTCTTGTTGCTCTCTTCCGTCCTTCATTAAGAACTCCGCGGCACGTCAAGATGACGTCACGTCACGAAGCAATGTAAGACGTATTCGACATATTTCGGAGGACAAGTATCCAGAGATTGTCAATAGAACGGACAGGTGTAGACGTCGATCAATACTGGAAGGAATCGTTGATGATAAGCTGACAAAATAGAGCTTTCGATTAGTCATTCGATCAAATTATTCAGTTAGTCTTGTTTAACTGCTATTATTATCCTGTGTACATAGAATACAAATTTATTAAATATTTTATAATCATTATTGAAAGATAAATACATACACGGTCATACATATATTATAGAAATACTGTATAAAATTAAATTCGTAATTCCATTGCCAAGGTATTTATTTATTTTGATACTGATAATTATCATGAATTTAAGATAGGAAAGCGAATTCCGTACAATTTACGTTTCTAAAAATACTTCTCTGCAATACTTCTCTGTTTTAGCTGATAACAATCACCAAGCCGAAACCGGCCATTCATCTGGACAATCGCTACAGACTGATGAGACACGAACCGATGCTAGATGCCGACGGCAATGTGACCGATAAGATTGGAGATGATTATTATTAGTGGAAAAGAGACGGAAAAAATCGCTCTTAATTTAAAGATATACGTAATTATTGTATACATATCGTGATATTCCTCGCTTAACGACGATTGTTCAACGGTGACGGAAGGAGAGAATTTCTTGGATCAATAAAGTGAAATTTAATCTTATATTAAAGTGTTGTTCGTTGCACGCATACCGAATATTATTTGCAGAAGACGTCAATCGAACGCGGTACCACGTGAGTCGTTTCTTTGGCTACCGTCGGGTTGTTTATGAATCGATCCATCCCCACCCCTTCACCCCCCGTGCCATTCATTCCTTGTGGAAGATACGATGTAAAAATATTATTGCACACCATTTCCAGGATGCCACTACAGATTTTAGCGGCCGTTTGCGTTTAATCGGATAAAGTATGTTTGGCGGATAACTGCGCGAATAATACCCTTCCCGGTGAACATACGATGTACGATATTTATATTAGTATTTAAACTGACATATTTACATGCGTAACGTGATTTTGTTCGCATCCGACAGCCCTCACACAAACACATGCGCGCGCGCGTATATTCATAATGTCCCGTTTCCAGCGCATTATATTTTAATGAAGATTCCTCGACGAATCTGTGTACTCATTTCGTTTTAATGTCAAAAGTGAAAATTGAGAATTTATCATCAATGAAAAAAAACTGCATAATTTGTTATCTATTATCTCTAAAAAAACACACACACACACACACACCAGAAATAAAATGGAGCACTTCTTGGTTTGTACGTATTTAAAAAATAATTGACACACACGTCTTTGCACCCTTATGGTTCTCCGCATAATATACAGCAGTTCTCTACGTAGAGCCGAGAGCAAAGAGGGTACGAGGCACGAAATCGGGATTGGATCGGATCTCCGCTACAGTAACTGCCACGTGATAATAGAAGCCCGACGGGTCTGCGCCGGGTCGGGCCAGGTGATAGTTCGTGCAGATCCAGTCTCGCAGGCCCTTTCTGCTTTCCTCCTTGCACCCCCCCAATGCGCGGCGGCCATACGACAGCTGTTGATCGTCGTTTCGTAATAATGCGCCAGACCGTGTCGTCTAGCGGGTTAGACGTGATCACGTAGACGTGATCATCTACGATCTCGCGGAGAGACTACAATATCGATCAACATCTAACGATCGCACACGGTCACGTTCGGTTCGATATCGATTCGACTAATTTTTTCCCTCTACTTTGTGACCGTCCCTCGCCGTCCGTCTACTCAATGCTCAACCATCGGTTTCGAGGAACGGCTCGGAGAGAAGCCCATCGTGTCGGCGCCATCGTGCGGCTCGCATCATCATCGGGCCGACACAAAGAGCCCATTCAACGACGGTACAACGATCCTGCTCTCTGGGACTGCAGAGGCCGACAGGCCGCCTGCTTGCCCGGCCTGTCTGCCTACTGTCGTGCAACACGGCCTTCGGCAGATGCGGCGGCGCGATGCGCCCGGCACGGAATGCATTTCCACGGAACTCGCCGCGTCGCTTTTTCTTTCGGGACGCGTCCGAGTTGCGGACGAAGAAGAAGAGGCAGAGGCTCTCTCGCTGATTCTAGACTCGACGTAATAACGTAATTGGCAATTCGACGTGATGTCGGGCATTCGATCCCTCAGCTACCTACGCTACGAGATTTTCTCCGCTAATAAGGTAGAGGCACAACGGCGCGATTGTTTAATACGTCATCTTCATAAAAATGAGAGTAAAACAAACGCACATACATACGTAGAACGGGAAGTCCCCGGATGATTAGTCACGTAAAGTTCTCGATTCTAACCGAGCGGAGCTTTCCGTGAGTAATTTACGGCGGTGCCACGCATTCGTTCGCGAGCGAACGAACACATTTGTAGAAAGCGAGAGCGGAAAAGGCACGAGAGGCCGGGATGAAAAAGGTGCGCCTGATGCAAGCGAGAAAGTCGTCGATTTGGCCGTGCGGACTTGGGACACGTTAGATGTGGTCGGTGTTGGCTTTTCAGCAACAGTGCTAGATGGAATCGCAGTTGCGATTACGTTGCGCAAGTTGCGTCCCAGAAAACGACAGAGTAAACAGCGCGGAAAAGCGCGTCTCGTAACATATCGCGTAACTCTATCGCACGCGATATTCCGCGCCTGTAATTGGCAGGATCTTGATTCTGCTGGCAGTCGACTGGCTCGCTTTAATTATTTCGTGAATTGTTGCGTTAACCAGCGACGTCATCTCTCGTTGGACGGTAGTTGCGCGCAGGATATGAAAATGCATTTCCTGTTTTCGGAGTGGTATAATCGATTCGATTTTACCTTCGTCACGGTATCGTGTGGCAACACGATTAGGCACTTTCCGAAGCGACCGTACGTTCTCTGTACCGGAAAAGATCGCGCCAGCTGGTAAACGAGGCAGGTTTCGAACCGGATGGTTTTCGTGTTCCAACGTCGGAGATTGGCGGTTTTAGCCTCGCTCTTTTCACATTCAGTTCGAGAACTCTTCGACCGAAATCATAGCGCGATAGTTTTTACAATCTACCGTTTCGCATTGTGTAAAAACTTCAAAAAGATTCCACGTAACGTTAATTATGTAACAAAGTTACAAAAATCCTTTGATATATTTAATAAAACGAGATATTATTGAATTTAAGTACAATATTGTAATTTTCTGGAAAATTTATTAAGTCGAATTTAATAGTCAGTGGGAGTAGATATTTTTTACTCTGCGATTTATAAGAACACAGTTTGCATCGCATCGCAACGGCCGTATCATTACGCTCGGGAAGAAAAACGGCTGGCGAAACGCGCCTCAGCAGGGCGATAAATCTATTTCGCATTCGTCATCTTTAAATAAAATGCATCTCGTGCCAGCGCGTATAGAAAGAAGTTTTGCACGTATCCCCAACGCGGTGAGAGAGCAGCTGTTCCTGCACACCTGGCAAAGATTTTGGAGCCCCTGGGACCATGGGTCCGGCTATTCGTCGGGAATTCCTTCGAAACCCACCGCAAATTTTATGTGTACGCCGGACTTTCGACGGGCCTACAACGTGATGGATATACGCGATATTCGCATATATTCATCCGATTTCATTTTTACCCGAATCTGTATCTAATCATTTTTATTTAATTAAACGTATTAATTCGCGTCACATCGCCGTACAACAGGTACAACGAAAGTACAACAGGTTTTCTAATGTCGCCGAGTCTGCACTTGTAACGGTAAATAAATTCGGTCAACATAACTGGCATCGGGATTCGCGACGTCGAGTCGTTTTATCGCGTTGCTCATTGCGTTTCTAATGGAAGGAAGTCACTTACGATTGCAAACAGAATAATTCTGACGGATGAAATGAAGTTTCATATCGCGTGGACTCTCTCGAAGAATCGGTTCGAGCGGACTTCGATTCTCCGCAAAGATCAATAGCTCTTGCACCATGAATCTCTCTGAGGGAGAAGCCTAGGAATTATTAACACCGCGGCATAAATAATCCACGTTACTCTACGGTAATTGAGGAGACTTCATAAACGGGAATCTGAATCCGCAATTTCAATGTATTCGCGTAGACTTAATCCATATTGATGTGAATAATTTACCGCAATTGGCAGTCAGGTATCAATGAGAAATCGGATTAGCATTAATTATCGGGATATAATTATCAAAGCCAGATCGTGATCGAATTCACGGATATTTCTTGACAATGACAATTGTCAAGAATGTATCATATATCAAGAATATTTCCTGTGTATTATTTTTGAAGATGACTTATTGCTACTGATTCGCTAAGAAATATGTGAATGTTCATCCGAACGAAAAATAGGATTGAAATATATAAAAAATAAATTAATCCGATATCGGTTGAATTTGTAAGACGATCAAGTCTGCTGACTCAGACATTATACATTTTCGTAATTAATCTCGTTCAATATAAAATAGAATATAAAATTATTATATGTATTAATAGCTGCATTATTATAAAAAAGTATGTATAAATATAAATGAATACAAAAGTTATTGTTTAATTGACAATATATTTATAATAAAAATGTATATATTATAAATGTATACATTTCTTAAAAATTGCATAAATTTTACTTGTTCATAATTTTTCGCATAGTTCTTTCTTTCAGATAGCTGTTGCTCACATTAGAGAAATATTATTCTAAAATATCAGTTTTCGCGAAAGAAAGAAAGGAAACTATGAGATATTAAATAAATGAGAAATCGGCGGGAAGCAAGGACCGGCGTACGTAAAGTCGAAGAGAACGATGAGAAAAGAGATGAGAAGCAGAAAAGGAGAAAGAGAGAAAAGAGACGGAGAGAGGCCAGCGCGCCGCGTGGAGAGGCAAATAAAGAAGCAAAAATCGAACGAAGTGAAGGAATGCTCGACCTTGGCGTCTCGTTCGTGAGGACTGTGGCACCTCTCCTCAATCAGAGGCCAGATGAAATCGAGAGAAAGAGAACAGTGTTCGTTGCAGAGCGAATCTTATCGGCGCACCACGCCTTTCGCGTATCTCGCGGATCGTTAAGCCTCAACTTCGCCAACGGCCATCGAAATCAATCTCGCTTGTTCCATATTTTATGTAAATGCATTTTTTTCTCTGTCACGATCGCAAGGTGTTTATAAAGAGAAACAATAAATTTTGAAGTCTCGCTCGCACTAAACTCGAAATTTATCATATATTTGATTAAGTCTGTGCTGTGTCATTCATTTACATTTTATTACTCATTAAGCAACGACTTTTTTTTTTTTTTTAACACCACGTTACCTGCGGCGAGTTAATTAAAGCCGGTTAATGCAACTGGGTTGAATTCCGACGAGGAGCAATATATTTACATGAGCAGACGGTTGTTTTTCGACATTTATACGAGAGCCTCGTAATCGTGCGCCGCCGCCGCTGTTGCTGTTACTGTTGCCGCTGCTGTTGTTCCCGAAACCAACGTAATTTCCACGCGAGTCCGCCGAATTTCTCGATGTCAAAAAACGCATGGGCACCTCGCGCACAGACGCAGTGTGAGAAAGTTTACGCGATTTAACGCTACCGATGCAAAATATTTTTGCGCATGGGAGACGATCGCTCGGACGACGGGCGGGGAGTGGTGACGAAATACAGAACGTAACACGACGTGTATTTATATGCGTGCACGCGCGTCACTTTTAACCGCCCGTACGCATCGC